GCCCCGAGCGGCTGCGGACGCCGAGGAACCGGCCCCTTCTCCCGGCCCGGCCGCGCCCGCCTCGCGCCCCTTTGTCTGCCCCGCGCCCGGGGCCGCCCCCCCGCTCACTTCCCAAAGCGAAACGGCACCGCTTCCAAGGGGGTAGCCGCCAACTCTCGCGACGGCTCGCGTACTCTCGCGAGAGGGAAGCCCTCCTCCGCCAGCCAAGCCTCGCGAGACCACCCCGACGCTTCTCCCTCCTCCTTCAGGCCCCGACGAAAACCTCGCGAGAGCAAGCCGCGAGGCCCTTCAACAAAACTTTATTGAGCCTCTTCGTAACGCGGCACGTGGGGGGAGGGGGGAACAAACCAACAGACCAACACCAGCGCACAAGACGGCGTTGCCTTTCCAACAAAACTTTATTGGGAGGAAAGCGAGTGGACAAAGCACCACAGGTGCCCCCCCACAACAAAACTTTACTGACACGTTCCTGAAGACAAATACCCCCCCCTACACCCACCCACCTCCACATGCACAAAGTACATGTTCAGGGAGATGAAAACACAAGTGTGTGTTCATTTATGCTCATATGTGTGCATATATATGCATATACACGTATATGTAGGTACATATATACATGTGTATGCACAGACCTATTCACGTAACTCCCCAAGAAAGCCGAAGGGACCTGCAAATAGTAGCCATAAAAGGCTGCATTAAACACAAAGTACAAAACCTAGCTGTCCATTTATACAGGGGGATTGTAGGATCACTCCCTGATCCCAGCTTAACTTCTTGCCCCTTCCTGGAGTTGGAAATAAAATCCAAAGAGTTCTGGCTTCCAGTCCCCACCTTTATACTTTAAATCTTATTCCCCGCTCAGAGCTGGAACCAGAAACCAGGACTCCTGATTTTAGTAGCTCTTACTTCCTGCATCCACTTTCCTCTAAGAACCAAAAAGAGGACACCAGTGCCCTGACCCCCAGAGTTCTATCACCCCCAGCTTTCCTCACAGCTGGAAACAGAATCATACAATCCAGAACCCTCATTCTATAGCCCTAACCCTCCAGAGAAAAATCAAGTATTTATTTTTGTTGTTGTTGTTACTACTACTTAGACAATCAGATCCAGCAGTTTTTGGCAACAGGGACTGCAGGTCCTCGGTGCTCTTTCAAAAATGGGTCCTGAGATTAGCCAAAAAATGAAGCAGATCACATCAGTGGAGACTTATGGAAATATCCCTTAGCCATTCCTCAGGTAAATCATCATTGACTCCTTGTGATTTTTACCCAGCAATAGAACAGAAGTCTGGTAAAAGGATCTGGTGTATGGTGGGTGGTATAATATAATGTCTTTATATGCATGCCTTAAACACTTGAAAGCAAATATTAAAAGGAAAAGAGCAACACAAAATGCTTTTTCCTCCCTCTGAGAAAAAATACCCTCCCCCCTCAGCTTATTTTACATGGAAAAACTGTGAATATTCCTATTTTAAGACTTCCATGCATGATCCTTGAAGTACTGAAGCCTTCAATATAACAACAGCATGATACAGGAGTAACTCCAACAGCATATCCATTTAGGTTTGAGACTGTCACTGTAGAATGTAGATTTATTTTTATGAGGGTCACATCACTTGAAGGCAAGTTCCAGAAAGCTCTAAAATTGCAGGTTTTAATTGGTGTCTGTTCCATTTGCACGTGTGTATTTGCAGCTTCCATTTTGTCACATCAGCATTTTGAGCCCTCTCGCTATAATTATGGTGGGTCTGTGCTTCATTACAAACCCCGTTGTCTATATTCACTAGGCCATAAAAATTCTCTTTAGGCTGACACTCGGCATATGAAATCTCATCTCTGTTTTGTTTTTAAGTTAAACGGTGACAAAAGCACAACTATTTTGTGGATTTACAGATGCTTCTCCCCTTTCTTCCTGAGGCTGCAATTCCACAATTAGCTCAGCAGAGATGGTCCTTCCACATCTCCACAATTTTTAAGATGAAAGACAGGCCATCAAATTACACTCTGAAATTCCCACATCATTCTCAATATCTTTGGATTTATTATTTTATTGTAGAAAGACATCCAAGCTTGCTTTCAAGACTTGAAGTTCAGATTAATCCACTGCTTTCCTCAGCAAATACTGGATCCTATTATTCTTTGGTCTCCTTGTCTGTCTAATTATCTGGTTAATGGAACACTTCTCGACTGGAACTAGAACTGGGCACCAGCTTGCAGATGAAGAGCTTGTTTAGTTAAAGTAACAGACTCTAATACCTTCTGGAAAGGAGGAAGAGGTTAATCTCCAGTTTCTATTAATTTCAAAGTAACTCTTGTATAAAGTAGTAGTTCCTGTAAATCCTAGGTAGCATTTTCTTTTTAACAAAGTAGCACATGCCTACAATTTTATCATATATTCTCTGCGGTATTTAAAACAATGAATTTATATTCACTACTTCATAAAGATGTAGATACCTTGTATACTTGGCCACTGAAGGAGATGAAATGTCTTACTCAGGAAACAGGAAGAACTCCTACCCCACTCAAACAGATCACCTCATCTGATGGTCAAAGAACAGAACATCTTCAGCTGTGGTGTGTTAATAGGAAGCCATAAGGTGGGCTGGCCCTTTTCAAAGAAAGGCTGGGTTTGTCTCTGACATTAGTATTTTGTATTCAAAGGTGAACCTGGTGTTTTCTTCAGGTTTTGTGGAAGGGAGTTGATCATATCAATTTTTCTGTCCATAGTGATGAGCTAGAAATGTAAATTTGGATCTTGATAGTGGGAAAACTGGAATGACCTGCTAAAACCAAGCAGAATCAGGAGCTTTAAGTGGAATGCTACTAATCTTGGGTTCCACCCCCCACCACCCTTGCAGTGCTTCTATCTTTGGGTGTTATGCAATTTACTGTTTGTAAAATACGTTTTTCTCTGGTGAAAAAGAAATGCAAAGTATTCTTATAGTATTGTACTCTGTACTGAACTTGAATGAATAAAATGGAGGTATGGGAGAAGGGGAAAAGATCCTTCTAAAGAGATAGGAGGTAAAAGTATTTAATGCATTTGGAAAGCTGTTATGGTTTACCTCATTACGCTTGGTTCTATGATTAAAGTAGTATCTTTAACACTACTTGATAATACCTAGACCAAGTTAAGGGCTCATTGGATGTATGTTTAGACTTAAAACAGTACCATAAACACTATACTTTATCAAGCGCTGTCAGCTTCCAGTTATGTGCTGGGTATGTTCCTTTTGTATTACATCAGTGGTGTTCAACCTCTGGTCCAAAGGTCACACCTGGCCCACAGCCATGTCACGTGGCCTGTGGGGCTCCCCACTGGTACAGAAATTTGATGATAAGGAAGTGGTAGCAAAGCTAAGCATTCCTAGAGCTGTAGCATTTAACACTGCTGCCACTGGGGAGCCCTACAGGCCAGATAATGTGGCCCTGTGCATGAGGAGGCTGGGACTGTAGCAACACTGGCATGTATGCTAAAGCAGCATTTATCTGATCTCAGCCTTAAAAGGAGTGCTCAGAAGCAGCACAGTAAGTCTATCACATGCCATCTCAGCATAATGAGACAAGTGAAAAGTCTGCTAACCACCTTCCTGGAACAGCTGAGATTTACAAGTAGTCCAAAAAAAAAAAGCAACACAGTGGGAACATCGCTCTGCAAGGCAAGGATTTCTTATGGAGATACCTATATTGGACCAGCTGTACAGGTGGAGTGGAGTTAGATGCACTCTCTGAAGACGAAAGTCTTGCCTAACTCCATCCTATCCATCCAGTTGGTCCAATTAAAGGTATCGTCCTAAGAAACCTGTGCCTCTCGCCTGGCTTCTGGCCCACCGCGGCTCCACCATCGCTCCTGCCCGACTCAGTATTTGAAATACTTAGTCCTCCCCGTGTAACTACTGTTATATCCTCGTAGCTCTTTCGAACTGCAAAGAAGTCTCAGGGGCAACTGCTATTAAGTTGAACCTTCCGCCCCGCCCGGCTGCCGAGCGCAGGAGTCCGAATGCCGGAGGGGGGAAGGGAAGTAGCACAGAAGCCGAGCTGGTGCTCCAGATCCCGCGAGATGTCGGCCCAAGCATGCTCCGCTCGCTGCTCTCTCGCGAAATTTCCCGGCTCTCGCGAGAATGCGGAAGTGTCGCGCAGTTTGGAGATTAGCTATGGCCGTTGGGATGGCGGCAGCGGCCGCGGACTGAGGCCCCTCCCGCGCGGGAGGGGCCCGGCCGCGGGGA